ATCCATGGAACAGTTACTCATTGCGAGAAGCGAAGAGTCGGGGCATCCCCGCAATTAAATAATTGTGCTCGTCGCTTTATTGTACGACTGCACAGCATCACGTGTTTAGACTGGGTTTGGACCGGAGACTTGATTTATTGACCACTTACACACACAACTCGTAACTGCAGCACATATAAAGTCTTCTATGCCGTCACTAGTCGTTTCCTGGCAATGTCCTCTGCCTACGTCCTCACCGCCTGGCGAATATCCCACGACACAATTAAGCTCAAAGTCAAAGTAACTTTACGACTGGCAGTTCACCGTCAATCAGTTCGTCTTGGCGTCATGCCTCTTGAGGCCCACGACCAGAGAGTTTTTCCCAACTGAAATCTTGCGGTAATAGTCCTTATGTAACATCCTCTCTGACAAGAAGGTGGGTTTGTCTTTTATGCAATTAAGCTCTAAACTTTGATCCGCTTATAGCCCCTCGGCACAGACCGCGTAGAAAACACCGCTCCTCATTGTTGTATCCAATATTACCTGAGCAACCATCGGCGTGGAACCCGCAGAAAACTCCGCTTTCCAGCCAGTTCATTGGCGCACTGGCCGCTGCCTAGCAACGGCTTTTGTCTCGTTGTTTCGCGGCCGTTTCCTAGCAATGGAGCTATATGCGACAATACGATAATTGATAAATAAAAGATTAGGAAATATTTGAAAGGAAGTGGTCGTGATTTAATCGAGAAAATATCCTAGAATTTGAGTCGAGGGACTGAGCAAAACCACAAAAACCTTCAGTCAGCATAGCAGGTGTCCTGGCCGAGAATCGAACCGAGGATCTCCTAGTGAGAAGTCTAGAGCATACTCGGTGGGGGAGCTGTTACCAAGCCCTACGGCGGTAGTGTCTGGTATTTGGAAGCCTAAGGAAGCAGAAAATTGACTGCTGTGGGGCTTCCCCTCTCGTTATGCCTTTACACCGCGTCAAGGGTTCATGACNGGGCAGACGGGCTCTTTCTATGGGGTTGAAGCGGTCGGGGGTGGCAGGTGACCACTCATCTCCATTGGTGCCTATTATTGTGGGGAGCTATACCTCCACTCCACAACGGCCTTTTTCGGAGTAGTGTTCAACTGAACACGGGAATAATTTTACCTCCACAATAATAATCCTTCTCTAGTACTAGTACTACTTCCTAGTGTTTTTCCTTGAACTGTGCCGTCGACAATTGATTATCTGCCTAGCAAGTGCTTGCTTGCATCGCATTTCCGAAGATTTGGCGGAAGGCGGCTATCGATTCGGCCCCTTGCACACAAAGCCGCAGGCCATCTGCCCGTGTATACCAGAGCATCTAAACAATATGCAAGATTTCGGATGTTACCTCCAAGAAAACACGTCGTCTCCTGCAGCTATGGTTCCCGGCACGCGACAGAGGGCTGCACCACACTGCGCAGGCGCTACCACGTTCCCAGTTTCATTAATTTCATTTTATTTTAATTCTGGCGCACATGAGAGCCAGACGCGCGCTTGTAGCGTCCTCACGCCGTCTGGCCGACGTAGCACAGTTCCGTCCTGCATGTGTAGAAGTGTTGGGCTTGGGTTCGAGGTCGTCTGCTCTATGCTGGTTCTTTCCTTAGCCTAGCGATATGTTCCGCCGAAACGTCGGTTGACTTTCACAGAACTACACAGCGTCATGTCTCCCTATCTGGACCACAGAGTACCCGAGCGTTTACTTATTTGCCACGAATTCAGTGGCCGTCAATAGCTCAGTCTAAAGTTACGGCGTCCCATGACAGGAAGATTGGCGAATAATGAATTGTAAAGGACATGGGAGGAGCCAGGATAACTCAGTCAGTATAGCGACGGGCTGGACGGCTGGGGTTCGATTCCCGGCAGAGGCAAGATTTTTCTATTTTTCATAGCGTCCAGACCGGCTCTGGAGACCACCCAGCCTCCCTTTACCAGTTGAGGAGACTCGGAAATCAACGGACGAATTTCCGTCTTATGAGTCCAGTCCGTATACTTCAGAGCACCCCCCCCCCAAAAAAAGCAGGAGACACCTAACCAAACTAACTAGATTCGGAAGCGTGGGATAGAAACCTGATGACGTAATCACCGAGAGTGTGGCATTTCAGAACAACGAGGCTCTTTTAATTGCATTACGCCTGCGATCGGCTGTTTCGATTTTCCGCAACACTCGCTCGTAGGTTAAGTTTCCTATGGGCACGGCGCTTTGATGCTGCTCCCTCATTACAGCCTGCGTCTCAATAAAGAGCTTCGGGGAGATTACGTAAATTATTAAACCTTTGGCGCCTGAAGATAATTGGAAGAATACATAAAAAGCTAGTTCCTACCTCACAGAAAACATTGCGTCTCCATTCAAAAGACCAATCGGCGATACTAAAGCAATCCTGGGTAAGGTAAAGGCAAAGCTGTCCCTCTACTTAACTAACTAAAGCGCTAAGCCATGGACTGGAGGTGAAGCCCAGTTCTATAGAATAAATCGGTCAATCAGTCATATCTGTAGTCGCGTCACAAAATCAAGTCTGCTCGCGAGGTTAGCGGATTCCTTGAAGACTTTAAATGTCCGTTCCTGTTAGGGCGCTTAAACAATTTTAAGCATTGTGTTTAAATATGCTGTGTCTAACACAATTTTTATGATAAATGGATGGAATTGACGTTATTTGTATCAGCAAAGAACATAGTGCCGAATATTATAACATTAGATTTGCAAATTGTTATACAAAGTGTTACAGGCTATTTCCAATTTTTTCTTTCAATTTTGATGCGTACTGTAAAAATGGTTTCAAATTTCTTCATAGAGTTTTTCTGCATTATAAAATCAGTCCTGCTTGTAACACTTGACATATTTTAGCAGTCCCTGGTGTCATAAAACAGGTGGAAGCAATAAAATCATTTGGACTTCTGCTAGCGCTGCTTACACTCTTTGGATTTTCGAATATTTTGACTAAAGGACAGAAGATGAAAGCTTTGCTATTCAAGAAAAGCCAGAGGGGTTCCTTCTTCAGGTTAACCTTCCGTTATAGCTGCAAGAGATTACTGCCCTTTCTAGGGCCGTGGACAGACAGTTTCATCGTGGCTGAGATACAGAGCGCGATCTGTTTTCTGTGCGTTCACAGTGAAATCGAATACTGTGCTTTCAATTCAGCCTATATATACATCAAGCAGATAACAACAAAAGGTATGTACATCGAATGTTACAATATATTTTAACTCATTAATCTGCAGAATCTTCATTAAAAGTAATGGCTCGTCGATCAGTTTGGGCATAACTCATAAGTATAGTCGTTTTTGTCATTGTTCAATTAGGTATCATCTTAATTCCTCAATTAGGGTTTTACTCAAGTCTGTCTGGTAATTACTGCATTTAAAAATAAAATTTTCGGACTGTGCGCGCGCTTCCACTAGCGGAGTTTAAATGCCCGACTGGCCAAAACGGTCAGCTGAAGCTTACCGCCATTTCAAAAGTCCGGCGTTTAAAGGTTAATACCAATGCGGCGTCCGTAAGTGCGACACTAGCCCTCACATATCTACAAAACTCTGAACGTTTGAGGAATACCGATATATCGCAGAAATAGTCTCATTAGTGTTTATTTGTCTCATGCCACCAAGAAAACACTTCATGGCTCTATTACAAACTATTTTCACACGATCTCCAGGCAAGTTCAACTACTCTCCGCGTGTATGAACTCATAACTGGCTTAGATATCCGACTAGACGCGGCTGGCATTCCTGTCTCGTGCAGACACTGCACCGCCACCTTCACAGAGCGGCGAATAACCAAGCCACACATGGGAAAACAATGGCATGGGATATCGCCTATTCCGCTCCCTCACCTTGGGTTCCTTTGCATCTACTTCCATCCTCACGGTAAGGATGGCATCTTCTCTTTTCTCTAACCCTGTCTTCTCCCACTGATGTCTCTGCCTCCGTCTGATTCGTTATCCTCGCTCTCCTTGTCTCCTATTTCTCAGATGTTCTTTTAAAATTTTCGTCACATTTTATTTAGCATGCCCGGGAATTCAATCCTTTCCTGATATGTCGCCTTTTCGTCATTTCCTTTCCATATCCGTTTTCTCAACGCTACTTCACGTGTGAGCTTGTGCGTTCCAGTCACTTCGTGCCTCGATCTGTCTGCTTCTTGTTGCTTCGTGTCTCGGTCTGTCTGCTTCTCATCACTTCCTGTCTCGACTTGTCTGCTTCTCGTCATTTCGTGTCTCGGTCTGTCTGCTTCTCGTCACTTAGTGTCTCGGTCTGTCTGCTTTTCATCGCTTCGTGTCTCAGTCTGTCTGCTTCCCGTCACTTACTGTCCCGGTCTGTCTGCTTCTCATCACTTACTGTCTCGGTCTGTCTGCTTCTCATCGCTTCGTGTCTCAGTCTGTCTGCTTCCCGTCACTTACTGTCCCGATCTGTCTGCTTCTCATCGCTTGCTGTCTCGGTCTGTTTGCTGCTCGTCGCTTCGTGTCTCGGTCTGTCTGCTTGTCATCACTTCCTGTCTCGGTCTGTCTGCTGCTCGTCGCTTCGTGTCACGACCTGTCTGTTTCTCATCACTTGCTGTCTCGGTCTGTCTGCTGCTCGTCGCTTCGTGTCTCGGTCTGTCTGCTTGTCATCACTTCCTGTCTCGGTCTGTCTGTTGCTCGTCGCTTCATGCCTCGATCTGTCTGTTTCTCATCACTTGCTATCTCGGTCTGTCTGATTCTCGTCATTTCGTGTCTCGGTCTGTCTGCTTCTCTTCACTTACTGTCTCGATCTGTCTGCTTCTCGTCACTTACTGTCTCGGTCTGTCTGCTTCTCTTCACTTACTGTCTCGGTTTGTTTGCTTTTCGTCATTTCGTGTCTCGGTCTGTTTGCTTCTCATCGGCTCATGTTTCGGTCTGTGTACGTCTCATCGTTTGGTGTCTCTACTCTTCGTGACTTCATGTCTCGGTCTGTCTGCTCTCCCCGCCACCATACTGCATGCAAGGTGAGGCGGCCGGCCGGGCTGTGTCTCTCAGTGCGGCACGAGCGCTCTCTCTCGGCGGTCACCGCAGCGCGCTCTCTCACGTGTACAACAAAAGAATGTCGGAATGAAGTGACGCAACAACAGTGTTACGAGATCACGAGATATTAAGAAGCTTATCTTCAGGAATTCGCTGCGAGTGCATCAAGTAATCAAAATTTTCGTGTGAAATGATAATTGATTTCCCGATGTGACATTCGAGTTCTGAAACCTTTTGATGATACAAACAACCTGAGACGCTATGACAGCGAGACTTGTCAGCAGCAGTAACAACAAGAACAGCAGCAGCAACAACAGCAACAGCGTCAGTTTGGTGAGCAGCAGGCCGTCGGAAGGGCGCAGAGTGAGTCGCACGTGATCCATCTTAATGTTATCATACTGATGACTGTTCGCACGTGTTTCTCACTGCACTCCTACATGCTGCACGTCCTATAAACCTCAGCCTCCCTTATTTTACGATCCTCAAAATTATTTCATAAGGGTTGCGAACTTTTAAAATCCTGTGTAAGATTTGAGTTTTCCACGGCGGCGACTATGAAGAAAGCCGTCTTCTGGGATGTGGCAACGTGTAGATATTGTGTTAACCGACGTTTCGGAGGAACGTATCGCCTCCATCTTTTAAAATCCTCATGTGTATTTTAGAAGCCGAGATAGCTCAGTCGGTATAGGAACTAGGCTAGGGGCTGGGCGATTGAGGAATCGGGGTTTGATTCCCGGTAGGGGTAAGAGAATTTTCTTTTCTTCATAACATTCAGCTTGGCTCTGGGGCCTACCCAGCCTCCTATACAACGAGTACCAGGGCCTGTTTCCCCGGGGATAAAACAGCAGGGACGTGAAGCTGACTACTCACCACTGTCTAGTGCAGAGGTTAAGAATAGTGGCGGTATGCTTCCACGCCCCCATACGTCTTCACGGCGTGCTGCTTGATTAAGGCCAGTGATAACTTTACCACTGTGTGTAAATATTGTCCCTAGTCCTTTTACCGTTCACTTTTCTTGGGCCCCAGTTCCGCGCGGAAGAAACTATTTTCTGCTGCCCATCCGAAGAGAGAATTACGACTGTTTTATTAATTACAAAGTTGCGTACCATCTGGTGAGACAAGAGGCTAAGTTGAACGGTAAGCGGAGGTGGTCATTACCGATTACCACGAAGGATCCAGAAGCAGGATACCGCGATTCGAGGCAGGTATCTCCCGATGCTCTCAGCTCACAATTTGCAAACAACTCCCGTAGAAATGATTATTGCTTCCTAGTTTTCTTGATTACGCTGTTTCAACTGCGAAGGCTTCACACGGGAGTGTCAACTGTTACACAACCCCACTTCGAAGTAAACACGGTTTCAGCATATTGCCTAAGTCTGAACAAAATCTGTCCTGATGAGTCAACCCATCCAAAAATTCTGTCATTACAAAATTCAAATCTCAGACGTGCAAAGCTCTGAGGATGGAGGGGTGAAGCGAGGAAGACATTCAGAAAATGAATTTATTTGTTTCTGCATGTTTCATGAAACCGCGTAGTTGGCAGCACTGATCCAGAGCAGGTTTGCAGATTGGTAACGCTCTAGATATGTATCTTGACCAGAGCACCATCATGGCAGAAACTTTTCGTGTCGAAGTCCCACCAGGAAATTTCCGCGCAGTACCTTGATTAGGTCAGGACCTCTTCCTTCTAAATCCTTTCCGATTCATTATTCAGCAGTCACTTACCACTCACGTTATATAGTCGACAAGGGACAAGTATCAGCACAGACAATATAATAGCGAATGTCGGGATGAATTGTGAATCATGAATTAGAAGGTGTGTGCACGGTAACGGCACCACCAGGCACTTGCATGAATGGACGAACCAAAGAAAGCCACGACACAGCTCGGCCGGACACAAATAAAATGTAAACCAGTTGCAAATTTTCTCGATCTCGAACTAGATGGTTAGATATATCGGCTCTCAGTGTCACAACAGGCCGGGCACCTCACTGACGGGGAAACAAAAAATGTCTACTGAATGTTCAGCTGCTCCAGGCTTTACATGAGACGCAAACTAACTGCATGAAGCCTCCAACTGGCCTTGGGCACGGTATCCATGGAAACCGTGACCTCACATGGCTGCTCAGGAACTTCCCGCGGTTTGCTATGGGGCCACAAGTTGGTGGGAATGTGGAGCCCTATTCTGGTATCTGCCTCGAGCGACTGAGAGCATCCAAGGAGATTCACTAATACGTTAAACAACGGAAAGTTGGCCTACATACAGTCAGTCGGAAGAACCTGTAGAATCCTGCAAATATGTATGTAGAGTTGTCCCTACGCCTAAACACCACACTGCCATGGCCTATAGGCAATTGAAGGTATTCACAAATTTGCAGTCATACCGCTGCGTAGATGTGAGTGGTCCTACTGCATCAAGGGGGGTGAAAGGGTCTAAAAGTTGGTCCGACCTTGGAGGGTGACCCCGGGCGTTCAGCCCATCAGAGTAGCCCCACAAACTTTGTACTGTGTGTTTTACTGAAAATGACAAAGAAATACTGCTTGTACTTGTATTCGTGATACGAAGGTCCTAATTTTATTTAAATATTTTTTTTTATAATTCGCTTAGGTGGGGGGGTGGAGTCCAACTGGGTCCACTCGGCACGGCGGCCACTGATTGGCCTATTGTAGCCTGCCCCGGGTGATTATGATGATGGAGAATTTGGTGGAATGAAGATTGGCAGGGGAAACAGAAGTGCTCGGAGAAAACCCGCCCCAGCGCCACTCTGTCCACCACAAATCCCACATGACCAGACCCCGGGATCGAACCCGGGTCGTCGCGGTGGAAAGCCAGCGACTAACCGCTTGAGCTATGGCGCGGCCTATGAAGGTCCAAAGTCCCAGTGGGACGGTGTGACGTACCACACTTCAGTACAACGAATCGTCATGCAAAGTTCTGATTACAGTGTTTCATAGTGGAGCCATGCGGGGAGAACTGCTGTGTGAAACACTTGTCCGCGGAACTATGTGCCTGTATCCCACAGACTACGTTAAAATCTTTTTGTTTATTTCAAGTAAGAGCAGAGAGAGCTGACCGTTTCAGATCGAGACAGTGCTATTGCAGAACCCAGTCGGCCGCTTTTCGTAAGAGGAGCATGCACTGAGCAGGTTGGCATAGCGGAAATACTCTAAGACTCGTAGCCCACTCAAAAAGTCCTCGGTTCGAATTTCGGCGAACACACCAGCTATCTTGAAGAGATTTTTAGTGGTTTTCCTTACTTGCTCCAGGAATATGCCGGACATATCTGGATTAGACCATGACAGCTTTCTTCAAAATCATTTCCATTTCAATATTCATCTATCGTCCCGTTATCCGTCGCTGTACAGCCCAGCTATCAACAAGATCCACCCCAAGAAGACCGTGCCACTAGACTGACCGACACAGGGTCTCTTGTTTAATGATACTGCTTCAGTTACAGACGTCATACAGCACCGAAACACACGGCAAGATTCTCAAACACGGTGACTGTGTAGCAGTTTGAAAAGAGGCGCTCGGGATGCATTCCAAGGGCATTCATCTGGAGACACCGAGTAAAACCTCGAAGATATGTCATGATAAGGGGCGCAGATTCGAACCCACATGGCACTGGACGTAGTACGTTTGGCAGCCTATCCAAATATCTGATGGAGGAACCAGGTTCAGTGTACGCAGATTTCTCTCTATTGGAACCTAGTCCGCTAGATCAACGACGTTTCGGAGGAAGCTTCTGGCTCCATCGCCAACGTAGAACAGTAAGCTCAGGAGTGGCTGGCCCGAACAAGCGTTAGCGTCGTCCCCTGAACCTCCCGAGTTGAGCGTGTGGACACGTTACGTTCAGGAGTCCTGTGCTCTGGGTTGTCGTGTCGTGCAATCTGGTAGACAGGAACTGACATGCCACCAGTGCGTTCCACCGAAACGTCCCTACCTCTTATCGTAGCTCTCGGCGGGCGTCACATCCCAGCACCGAAGAGGTAGCTGACTGACCTGTCGGAACACGAAGGCTCGCGAGATAGATGCCAGCCGGAGGCCGAAACAAGATACTTCTCTTCGGCGAACTCAGTGACCGGAAGAGAAATAGGAGAAGTTTTGTTGTCGTTGTTAAGGTGAAGTCGTCCCTGCGTTTAATTAAGTGTCACTCCATGAACAGGCATGGGGGGAGGATATATGGAGGCGAATGGTGGGCCCCAGCGCCGGTCGCTCGCTGCAAGCGAAGTGCGGGAGACGCTGACGTCGTTACGTTTTGATTGCAGGCCAACAAGCCCCTGATGGAGAAGCGACGGCGAGCGAGGATCAACCAGTCCCTGGCCGTGCTCAAGACCCTGATCCTGGACTCGGCTAGGCTCGAGGTAAGCTGACCCTAGGGTCACTGCGCTGTGGATTCGTACGCTTTCTGAGATTCGGTAACCAGGCAATGTCTCGTCTCTTTTTAACTTGGAAGTAAACTGTTGTCATGACAACTGATGAAGAAACAGGTCGCTTACTTGTAAGACCCACGAGATAACATTAAAATTTGTCATAGTAAGTTCTCGGGGGCATGAACTGAGTCCCACTGTCACAGGATGGGGAATTCTTTGCTGTAAATATTATGATATTCTGTGATATGACACCGTGTAGTTTGGTAGATAGATATAAAGTTTCCTAGGAATTTCTACCTCCATCTTCGTGAGAGAACAATAAGGCACGGGAAGAACAAGCCAGTGATGTAGGGAAGGGAGGATACTAACCCTGTAAGTCAGCCGTAACGTGGGAACCTATCTACCAGAATATACGGCATCACATCTCGGAATGCCGCCATCAGAACAGAGACTCTCGCGTGTGGTGATAGTTGTCAGGAGCTCAGGACGTCACTGAAGCTCACGGAGGCTGGGGGGGGCAACCAAAGTACTCGAGGGCCACGCCTAGACGGCGGACCGTATTTTGAAAATCGCGGGCTCCTAACCACCCACCGTTTGTTTACTGTAAGACGCAGTTGGTGTCCAGACTTCATGGCGTCGAATGGTAGGCCGATTACTGAAAGATGAATTGGAATGTGTTTGGATGGAACCGGCACCTGTCCAATAGATATACCACCAGTCCGGTTTTTGCCTGGAGGGGCTGAGGAAAACCATATAACCTCAGTCCGGTGTTCGAACCGAGCATCTCCCAAACACAAGTGTAGAGCGTTAGCGCTGCGCCAGCCTGCTCGGTTAACCTCTGTCAAGAGACCCTCAGACTAACCAAGATCCCGTGTTGCAGCAGAACACTAAGCATTCCAAACTGGAGAAGGCAGACATCTTGGAGCTGACAGTTCGACATCTTCAGCGACAGAGGACTCTGGGATCAGCCGTCCTCAACAAGTACAGGGCCGGCTTCCAGGAGTGCACGCGAGAGGTAAACAGAAACTGACCTCTGGGTTGCAAGAAGGGGGACGTGCAGTGGTTGCAGCTGCATAGGGGGACGGAGGGTGACGCGCTGTAACATAACATATACTTTCTGATTCCCACGTAAATATAGGCCGGCGCTGACTGACATCTTCACGTCACTGCTCTTACTACAGAGACAACGCGGAACAGTGGAAAGAACCACTTCGTTGAAAGTACGAGAACCTACTAAGGAACCTTTTGACGATGACGTCAAAACATACGTCACCCTCGAAGTTTGCTTTAGTTACACTAGTAATGGCGAGGATAAAAGAAAATATAAACTAAAAAATATATATTTAAGTTAAATTGGACAGCGGAGATGGGAGGAGTAGACGCGACCGAAACGTCTATACGTATCAAATTGCACACGTCACATCTCGGATCCCTTTAAGTTTCGTGCGAAGCCTTTCTCCGCATGCGCACGCGTCCATTTCGGGCCCCCGTAAAAACTGTTGCCCTCTACAAAAGCTGCACGTCTCCCAAAGGTCTGCTCATTGACACTGAAGGGACTTTGAGGACCATATAACTACTCCGTCCTCAGCAGTGTGGGTAGTGTGAGGCGATCTCTCATGTCATGATAGCCAAACCAAGTTTAATGGAAAGCTAATTAGGTTGCAGACAGCCGGGGACGATTCCTCACTTTTAACAACATGGAAGGCCGGCCTACATGCCTCACGGAAGCTATACGCCACTGATCTAGCCTATACTTTAAGAAGCAGTACGCCCTTGATCACCAAACTGCTTCTCCACGACAGGTGAGCCGGTTCCTTGAGTCGCCCGATCTGGCGCTGACGCCCGGTGCCCCCACGCCTGCCCTGGACCCGACTATAAAGCAGCGTCTGTTACGTCACCTGGACACCTGTGTGGCCGAACTGGACCTGGACATCGGTTTGTCGTCGTCTGCAGAGGGCAAGAGAGACGCCGTGAAGGCAGAGGCGGACAGCGAGGCGCGGCCCGACAGCAGCACCACGACGGGAGGCGACGAGAACAATAACGGTAATCAGGCCAGACCACGGGCTGTTCAACGAGTTAGTTCACAGCGGCGCGCGTGTTCGCCTGGTCCGCCCGGGTCTTCAGTCCCCAATACCTTATTAGCTCAGGCCAGCGCCGTTTCCTTTCACATCCTTCGCTATTCATTATTTGCCGATCATCCTACCACTCAAGGCTACACTGTGTGAGCTACTGGCAGCGTCGTTATTCCCGGCCCTCGTTAGCAAAACTGTTTCTTTCCTTCAGATTCTCTGCTCTCAGTTTTTGTATGCGTTTCTCATCCCGTTCGATCTGCATACCTCACCACTCCGTAACACTTTCGTAGCTCCATTGTCTCCGTCCTGTGTCGCAGGTGCGCCCAGCAGTGTGGGGGGCAAGACGACCCCACAGTCCACCGGAACCGTCGCAAGTCCGGAACCAGACATGGAGCCCGTGACGGCCGTGGCCACCACATCGTCGCCCATCGCTGCAAGCCCCAACACACTCTCCGTGGTGCAGGTAGGCACTGCTGTACCGGCGAGACCAGCCAGCGCGTTATCGCAAACTGGGAGAGTCAGTAAATGCTTCACAAATGTATATAAAACGTAAAACATGTGATATTCAAACCTGAAGGAACCTCCACCAACATTCATATACACTTGTCCCATCGCCTTACCAGTGGGCAGCATAGAAGTCTTTTGACTGTTGTCTCAGCCACTTCCGCACCCCCGTTTCAACTTCCTCATCAGCGAAACATTTGCCACCGTAAAAAGGGATGTTTCTTTATGAATAGCCTCTGCATTCAGTCCTTTGCCCACAGAAGGCGCATAAGAGAACGATGCTCTACGGTATTATAGTCAAGTACGGTCGCCATTTTGACTACTGAAACCAGCCTCTGAACATGTGCATGCCCGTCTGCTACTTAGACTATCACGAACATAGATTGTTCTGCTGCCTAGTGATACACATAGAGGACCTATTACGTATATTACAGCTGTTTTACTTCCACTTGTGACCTACGAACAGACTCCCCCTCGTATTATTTTCTGTCTAAACCATCTTTGAAGGTGCAGTGTCACCAGACGGTGACATGTCATCATCATAAAGTTACTAGATCCCGGAATCACTGTATCGAGCTCTGGCTGAACGCACCGTAAGGTTGCCTACTCCAGGCATGACGCGCCTCAAACGTGACTAACTGAGGTGCAAGTCAGTCAATGTTCTCGACCCTGCTCTGGATGAAAACAGATTTTCTGTGTCTGAGATGGCGTAGAGGCAAAGCTTTACGTTTTCTGGCCCTTGTTACTGGACAGAGATGAGCGTTCGGTTTCACGCCCCAACCCCTTATCTTTGCCCACAAAACGGTTCTGGACACAACAGTGATGCGATAGAGCCCAACTCCCTTACCAGGAATCGAACCCCAACTCCAGAGTCACTCAAGCCTGCAAGGAATGGCATGTCCATTCTTCACAGACGAGGATAAGTGAACCAAGCCAGGGCGGTTTTGTCTAATTTCCAGGTGATTCCGTCACGGCTCCCGGACGGACAGGTCGTGTTCCTACTCCCTAGCCACTATGTCCAACTCGCGGCGGCAGCTGCTGCTTCTTCAGAGGTTGGCAACCCTGCACCATCCTCCACAACGACGCTATGGGCGATGAGCAACAACAAAATGTGCATCGACAACAACGCGGGCATTGTTGCTATCGACGAGTCGCTCGATACCGAGTCCTCGTCGGATCAACCGATCGATTTCACGGTCGCTAAGAGGAGTGAGGATGGCGTGCAGGCGGGAGAAGTGAAGGAAGAAGGACCCGTGTGGAGGCCGTGGTAATGGAGAGGCTGACCGACGGCTGAATACATACTGTTGGCATGAGAACGCGTGGCGCGTTGCCAAGACTGTAAATAAGAAACTAGGGCTGTGTCTCATTGTTGTATATATATTGTGTAGACCCACATACAGTCTGCTTCCATTAATTAAGAAGTAACTTACGTGAAAATATGTTCGTGAGGACATGCTGTAATTAACTTTACGTCATGAAATTCCATTAACTTCGTCGGGGCCCGTTGCCCAGCTCAGTGCAGCACATGGCGGCCTGACTGTCCGGTTACTGGCAACGCTGATAGTTGTTCTCGACAGTGGTGCTATTGCGATTAATGGCTTAGTCAGTCTGGTTAGCGAATTAATTCATTAAATATCGACAAACGACTTTCCAACACAGATATGTCCGTTCGTTGTCCGATGTGAAGGGGTGCGTGAACTGGGTTCGAAATTAGCTGAGTCTCTTTATGATGAAGTCATTAATATCCTAATCTAATATAAAAATACGTAAATTGTCCAGTGCCCTGTTTCCTGCCGCGGCCCTAACACAGAAGATATTGCGGAAAGCACTACCTGCTCTTGCCAATATGTACAGTAGCCATGGCAGTTGCGGCAGAGATTTTGGATGTGATTCGAATCCCAGTTCCCAGTTCATTTTTGTTTTTAAATGCAGTTTCTTAATCTGAGTGCTATTTCTGTCTCAAAGATTTAGCTGCTACATAACGGGGACACCGAGAGGGTACCGCTGCTTGTAAAGAAGCGCTAAGGGCGAAAAGCCCGCAGTTCCCAGGAAACTCACAGCAACTCAGTCACATGCACCAGTCGGGTTGGAAACCAACAACCCAAACCGTTGGTACATTAAGTTACAATTGCTCTTTCAAAAGGTTTAATCGATTGTAGTCGTCGATTTGTTCAATTTTCCACTTAAAACGTTATTTGTTGCAACAATAAAGATAAGGTACTAGTGGGCATTGTTTAACTCGCGCCGACACCAAAACACGGCCTTCGTGTTAAACCCGTGCTGTCAGTCAGGGTGTTGTTTGTGGCGTCGTGTTGAGGACTGGCGACGTGGTGTACCGATATTCTCTTTTCTTGGAGAACATATCCGGTTTGAGGCCGGCCCACTTATCTGTATACCACTTCCGTGTCTGTGTGTGTATGTCTCACTTTAAAACCATATTCTGTAACCCTAAGCCTCCACTAAAATTTACTGAATGTGACGTCACAGCTTGTTACAGATAGGCCTAAGAGTGACGAAACTGGTAGACCACATGTATATGTTGTAAATAATAATGCAATATAGAACGTTAATTTAATGGTTTGTCATTTATTATTCCCTTAAATGGATCTTAAGGATGTATGAAAGTTTGAACTGCATTCCTTTGGCACAAAACAGGTGAGATTCTTGCCTAGCTGAGCAACTATTAGCTCCTGAAGACGGACGCTGCTCCAGAGATTGACTCAGTCCATGTGCCCTTGTGGTGACACCCTCTGAAGCACGAGGGATGTACTGTATGTTATGCGTCGGACGGACAGACTTCAGTTACGTTTCGTAATGGAGATGTTAACACCACGATCAAACCTCACCGTCAGCTAGCTCTTCTCTTCCATCCAATTTCAGGAACCTGTGTACACTCATCATTCAACATATCGGGATAGCAATAGCTGCTGAAGGCTGTATAAACGCACAGAGAGGCAGACTCAAATGCAGACATGGCCGTGGCTGTCGGAAGTGGTCCCCCCCCCCGGATTCTGGAAAACAACATAAATCGAAAAAAAGAAGTAAATACAAGAAGAATTCACAATTAAACTCTCAACTGACTCAACCAAGTCAAAGTCAATGTCAAGTTACTTTACGACTGGAGGTTTACCTCAAATCAGTTCATCTTGGCGCCAAACCCCTTGAGACTCACGACCAGAGATTTTTTTTTCCAACTGAACTCTTCCGGTAATAGTCCTTATGTAACGTCCTCTCTGACGAGAAGATTGGTTTGTCTCTTATGAATATGGTTTGCTTTTGTCAAGTGTACGTATCACACATGTAGCATGTTATTGAAAATCCCTCCTTTTGCACTGTATAGAAGTCCTCTCTGTCGGCGCAGGCTTTGTAAAGCAAATCATGTCTATCTTGCTTATCTTATGCTACAACGGCAGCTTCGTCACTTGAAAGGTCGTAAGCTTGACCACCGCCACGTTCAATCCTCTTATATTTTCTATGTCTGGCGTTGCGTTTTCCTATACTGGGAATATGTTCATTCTCATGTTTCTGTAAGACTTCTGTTTGTTGCCAGCATAATTTTATCATATAATCGTACATGTGCGGAAGTTTCTGTCGGTCTGTAAGTTAAATTGCTGCTGGCCTTCGTCAGCACAGTCATTCCCGGCTTCAGTCCCCTCGAGATCCATGACCAAAATTTTTTTCTCTCCTAGATAGGTGTTTCGAAAGCGGGCCTCTTTTTCGACGAGGGAGGGGGTCGGTCTGTCTATATGGGCGCTACGTTTGTTGCACCGCAGTTTCAGCACGAGTATATCCACTCTGTAACGGCGTCCAGGTCACTACGCCCTTTGTGCATCCTTTGCCACTGCATTATACTGAGTAACATTTATACAAGGCATACAGAGGTTTCCTGTCAGTGCAGGCTTGTGCAGCAGGTTGTGCCTTGACTTAGTCAGCTCAACCGCTCAAATCACTGAGTAAGAGTCAGAGTTACTTTACAACTGGCGGCTTACCGCCAATCAGTTCGTCTTGGCGTCAGAGACTTTTTGGCAAACTGAATGAGCCCTTGAGGTCACAGCCCTTATGTAACATCTCTGTGATTAGGCCCCAATCACTGCATTACTAGTCCTAGTTATATAGCCTCGGCACGGACCGCAGAGAATATTTTCTTCCATTATTGCGTGTTCTCTCGTTGCCGAGCAAACAACGTGCCCACAGAGCTGTTTCCTAGCTACGGCCGTTGTATTGTTGCCTGTTTACACAGCTGATACTTGGCAATGGGACTACATGTTGCAGTATTTTAACATGTGATACTCTGCCCGTTAGAATTCTAGCAATTACTGGAACAACAAGCCACCCAGTGTGACATTTAACAGAACAAATCAAACCCGAAGCCATATCCTTACATCGTTAAGCACTGATTCAGTGTTCGGACGTGAAGTCTCTGTCATAAAGACATATGGGGGACTGGAGGTAAGCTCCACCTTTCTCGACCTCGGCACTAGATGCACGTGGTCACCTTCACGCCCCGGCCGCCTTGACCCGGGGAAATCGCCCTTGATACCCGTTGGATAGAAGGCCCGTGGGCACCACATTCGGTATTGGCACTGTGGAGAGCAGAAAAATCGTGCACTGCTTGGAATCGAACCCGGGCCTTGCAACCAGTAGAGCTATCCCAACTACTTGTATTTTATTAGTAGGTTATTTAACGACGCTGTCAGTATTGGATCTATACAGCGTCGATGATACGTTGAGTGGACACTGCGGAGTGTCGGGTGGAATGTGAACTGGCAGCGAAAATTCGATGTGCTCGGGGAAGAAACCGGCCCAGTGCCAGCAAAAGTGCCACATGACCTGACTTGGGACTGAAGCCGCTGACTGACCGCGTCAGCTATGGCACGGCCGATGAGGATTCATTACGTTTCTATCTTAGTCCATTAAACAATGCGGTTCTAATTCACCAAAGCAGGTACATTTAAAAAATTAACTACTTCAACGCCTGCCGACAATTAAAAAAAGAGCTATTCATTTCAGCCTCACATGTCATCGAATGATACGCCATCTCCAACTAATAACACCTGCATAAAATTCAGTGGCAAACGCCCCCTATATTATATTTATATAGCACTACACTCCACATCAAAATGTTATCAACAGTCGCACAACAAACATGGTACACGGGAACAAAAGACTGGTCGCTGCTTTGTGATCCCCTATACGTGTATATAACTTGCAACCTGCAACCTATTGACACTAGAAAATTTGTTGCTATGGTAACCCAAAACTGCGTAATTTCAGAACTCTCACCCACCCCTTACATTACTTTCATATATACTGACGGACACGTGACATTCGAGCGTGAGATGTCCCGAGGGAGTCGGAACAAGAAGTGACTGTGTTGGCGAGGGCCAGCCAGCTCCTATCTGACACGTCGCATATAAGAATGCCCAACTTACAGCTCGATTTGAGCACAACATACGTACAGTTAGTGTCAATATCTGACAAAGACTAAGTTGACTTACCGATTTATCCATGTAACAACAAGTTAACAAGATAAACGGTTAGTAAGGTGGTGACTGAGTTAATTGTTTAGTAAGTTATGGACTTACGTACCTGCTTAGTAAGTAACCGAGCTGGTTACTTAGAAAGCCTAAGTTTATAAGTGAGTTACTTAGTAAGCTAGTGACTTGGCTGCTTAGTTAGCTGCTCAGAACGTTTGTTGCTGAGCAAGTGAGTGAGTGAGATTATTGCTTAGTAAGTTAGGGAAGAAGTTAGCTGCTTTAAGCAACTTGGCACACACACACAAAAGTGCAATATGGGCCCGAAATTAAAGAACGGGCCACCGCTGACCCGGGGCTGAGACGTCGTGGTGCCCCGCAGCGCCTCAGGTTTTAATTAGGCCTTGTTTCCGCTGATCGCTCTCCTCCCGCCCACGTCACGGCACACGAGCAGGGGCGGTCCCCTGCACACGGTAACGGTGCGCACCCAGTCGCTCTCTGTCTGCTCGACAAGGCAGTGGGAACGGTGATCACCGTGCAATGCAACTGTCATCGATCTAGTACGTCTGTCTTTAACGTAACTGATAAAAGGGCACAAAATGAGTGAATACAGCAACAAACAACGCTACAGGCTCAACAACTGGGAAATCGGGCTTGGATTTCTGGGAGGAGCAGCAGACTTCCCCACACAGCTTCCTTTTCCACTACGCAATGGCAGCTCTTTCCCCAGAGGTAAAGCTGTAGGAGAGCGAAGCTTATCACACACCTCTCTCTAATGCCAAGGTTAGGCACGGTGGAACTACACTCCCACTCCCCAATACGTCTTCATGGGATGATGTTCAATTAAGCGAAAGGTACAATCTTACCTGTACCCTTGCCCGAACATATTGTGGCGTATAGATCCGTTGCTAGGCAGCAGATTCTTAATAATGCAACAGTTGGACGCAACAATATAAGAGCTGCGTTTTCTATGTGGTCCGTGCAGAGATGTTATAAGCAAGGGACACCAACCAGACCCCGTCTATAGCCACATATACACATGAAAATGTATTAGCATTTAGTATACTTTCCTTAGTTTGATAAATGAAAGTAGGCTTATGATATCTCCGTGCTGTCTGTGTGTTTCTGTAGCCTTTCCTATTAACGTTTGAATGCTTGAACCAATCTTTTTGAAACTTGGCATGTATATCATGACACCCGAGTACATCTCAATGACGTTCTTCATAAATACCTCCCTTCAGTCTGCCTGTCTGTGTATCCCGCATAATTGCTCGGCAACGGTGCGGTAAGAACGTTATCGCTACAGCGAATACGCACGCAAGAATGTAAGAATTGTTAGATGCGTCGTTTTCTATGCGGTCCGTGTCGTATCAAGGAAAGTATGAGATTAGTTATTCTCAAAACGTCTTGTTAAACACGTTATTGTGTGTTTATGTTTCCTAAAGTAACAACAAAGAGCGGTCACATCCACAAGGCCCTGTTCTTGCTAAACACAGTGCTCTAGAAGAACGTGGCAAGATACTGGTATGGGCCTACGTAATAATGAGGTGTGAGATGCCAACTTAATTATTTTGCTTTCGTTCTGGCCATTTCCTGCGTTCCGTGGTATCGTATTTTCTTCCCGAAATGTTAGTACATGTCTACCAGACTACACGACGTCACATCTTCATAATCACCTCCGTGAGAAACTCAAGCTCATAGGAATCAAGAGTGTTTACTCAGACTTTGTAGCTTGTTCAACGGTTTCCGCCTGACCAGAATATACGGCGTCCGCTGGAAGGACGGTTTGTGGATGTTCAGCTGAAGAGAATGCGAAGCGAGCGGACAGGGACTCACTATGAGCCCTATCCTGGCATCTGCCTATTGGAGAGCAGCAACGTGAAGTGAGTAGTCCCTGGAAAGGGCTTCGAGAGACAGACACAAGGAGAGTGATCGTGTGTCGGGGGCTTGCGAGAGGGCGGCAACACGCAACACTCGCCGCGACCCGGTAGACAGACAGGCAGCGCACGAGAGCGAGCCGAGCCCCGGCGCAACCACGCACCACGGTTTGTAGTCATGGCAACACACTGGACCAGAGGAAGGGACTGATACGCGACACCGC